TCCCAAAATCAGGGGGTAAACGACTTATAAAGTATCGGTCGACGGTCATATGCCGACATATGTATACAGGATGGGATAATAAAAAACTGCAACAAAGTCAAACGCCATAATTTTTACATTTTTATACCCTCTACCATTCTATGGAGGGTATATTAACTTTGTCATTCCGTTTGTAACTCCTCGAAATATTCATAATCGACCCTACAAAGTATATATATTCTGCATCAGTGTAAAATTCTAAGACAATCTACCGGTGTCCGTCTGTCTGTCTGTCTATCTGTCCCTCTGTCTGTTGTAATCACGCTATCTTTCGAACGAATTGAGATAGAAAGCTAAAATTTTATATACATGCATAGTTCACCAGTAGGCAGGTTAAGTTCGTAAGTGGTCCATGTCAGTCCACGTTTTCATATGGCCCCCATATAACAGTCCCTCGCGATATTCTGTATTTTCATGGTTATAGCGACATTATTGACTGGAATTATTTAAAATTTCGTATTTGAAGTTCGTAATGGGTACTAGAGCCTATGACAAAAATTATTGTATGTATTTTGATGATGTCAGCAACATTAGTCACCGGAATAGTTTCAAATTTCGAACAGGCAGATCCTAATGGGTACTACAACCTATGGGAAAAAATTTCGTATGCAGGTCCACGTCTTCGTATAGCCCCCATATAACGGTACCTCCCGATATCCGGTATTTTCATGATTTTTTTTTTTAATTCTTAAATTTCCTTCGAAATGGTGGAGGGTATTAAAAGTCCGACCCGGCCGAACTTATCTGCTTTTTTACTTGTTTTCTTTTAGGATCAAATTTTAGAATAAGTTTAGATTTGTTCGAATTGGTCACTTTTGGCACGAATTATGGCCTTCAAACGCCAATGAAACCGTCCACGCCCGAATGTTGCTCTGCGGTATTTTGGTTCATTCCCGTCGAAGCGCTTGCTTGAGGTGATCGACAATATGGTATTTTTTAATGACAACCTTGCTTTCCAAAGTACTCCAGACACAATAGTCCAACGGATTGGTATCCAGAGATTTAGTGCGGTATTTGTGCAATTGTGCGCTGGAAATGAAGCGAGGAACCTCATTTTGTAACTATTCTTGGGGAGTCCTGTTGGAATGTTTAAGGTCTGCGGCCAACATGTTTGCGAACCCAAGGCTTTAAAACACCCTCCAGAATATTTTCGCGACAATATTCGGCATTTATTCTGATGCCACGGTCGATTAATACGAACGGAGAGCGATCATCGGCTGTTATGGCGGCCCACACCATCACCATGGCCGATGCCGGCGCTTGGGTTCTGGTGGCCAACCGAAGGTGCACATTTTCAGCTGACCTCTTTGACAAGTAAACACGATCATTTTGTTTGTCTACAAACTGCGGGACAACAAATGTTTTCTCATCGGAGAAAACCAAATTCGGCACTTCACCACTTTCGACCAACCGAAGCAACTCCTTAGCTCTTTTGAGTCTATTTTCTTTCTGTTGCGGTGTAAGTTCCTACTCTTTTTGGAATATCATGGCTTTACCCCGAGCTCATTTTTCAAAATTTGTCGAATGGAATATTGCGATATGTTCAGCTCACGAGCCATTTTTCGGCCAATGCGGCGCAGATTTCGATCAAGTGGCTTCTTTACTTTTCGAAGCATTTCTGCTGATGTTGCTGGTTTCTTCCGCCCACTTCCTTGACGTCGGGCTACGATACCACTATCACGAGCGATGGTACGAGACACAAAAGATTTATTCACATTTAAATGCTGGAGTGCTCTAACGATAGCCACTTGTGGTTCTCCAGCCAAATATAAAGAAATCACACTATCACGCTTAAATTCCATCACGAATAACTTTTTTTCTGGAAAATTCTCTCCAAAATGCTTTTGTAGGCTTGTAAACAATATAATGAGCTGTCACTGGAATAATTATAACAGCTGTCGGACGAGTGGCTTAGAAATGAAAGCAGTCCGAAGTTGGTTGTAGTTTTTTCATCTCACCCTGTATAGTGGTTACCCTTCACGAGTTGTTAGAGCAACACGGGGCCTGTACCACAACATGAACCTCTACGGTCAATTATCTGCCAGAGAAGGCGGTGCTTATTACGAACTCCAAATACCAAGTTTGAGAAAATTCTTCTGAAAAATGTAACTGAAATCATCAAAATACCGAATATAGAGGGGGGTTATACGAACATGTGGACGTATGAAAGCTATTTTCTGTCTGTGAAAGTGGTATTCATTACGAGCTCCACATACCAAATTCGATCCAATTCCGGTGAAGAATATATTAAAAATCATTAAAACTCCAAATATCGGAGGACAGTTCTTTTCAAGGCTGTTTCTTTCATAAAGGAATACTAATGGCTATTTTAAATCGCAAAAGAAAACACCTAAAATTTGGCGGTACACTCATATGGGGGCTATATTAAAATGTGTAGCTATTTTTTCAGTGCTAAATATTCTACAGACCTGCAATGCATCTGGGCAAAAATTTTATAAAACTACTTTAATTCCGTCAGAAGCTAGAGTGATTTCCCCAAACAGACAGACGAACGAACATCGCTAAATCGACAAAGAATTTTATGCTGATCAAAAGTATATATATATATACTTTTTGGAGTCTAAAATGTATATGTATGTAGCTTCCGAAGGAGTTCATTACGTGGCTTATGGGCTATGTGACAAGGGCAGTCATTGCTCTCTGGGGTAATGCATATCGAGACTGATATACAGACCTTCCAAAGAATTTGTATGCACAGGAGACTACTAAAGGGTCTCCTGGTTATACTTCAAAAGATGTTCTATCTTCGGAAGAGCTGTAACAGGTCTCTTGACATTATACGAGATTCTTGTTATAGTTGTACTTCAAAAGATGTTCTGGCTTCGGAAGAGCTGCAACAGGTCTTCTGGCAAAAGGAGAGCTTCTGGTTATAGAAGTACTTCAAAAGGTTTTCTGGCCCTGGAAATGCTGTAACAGGCCTTCTGGCTATAGAAGAGCTGTAACAGGCCTTCTGGCTATAGAAGAACTATAACAGGTCTTCTCACCATAGAAAAACTGTAACAGGTCCTCTCCCCATAGAAGATCTGTAACAGGTCATAGATTATCTTCTGGCCATATAAGAGGTGTAACAGGTCTTCTGGGTATAGAAGGACTGGTCGTATGAACATAGAAGAACTGTAAAATGTCCTCTGGCTACAGAAGAGCTGTAACAGGTCTTCTGACCCTAACATGTATTCTGGCAATAAAAGAGCTGTAACAGGTCTTCGGGCTATAGAAGAGCTGTAACAAATCTTCCGGCTGTAGAAGAGCTGTAACAGGTCTTCTGGCAATAGAAGAGCTTCTTGTTATAGAAGTACTTCAAAAGGTTTTCTGGCCCTGGAAATGCTCTAACAGGTCTTCTGGCTATAGAAGAGCTATAACAGGCCTTCTGGCTATAGAAGAGCTGTCTTCCGGTCTTCGGGCTATAGAAGGGCTGCAACATGTCTTCAAGCTAGAGAAGAGCTATAACAAATATTCTGGCCATAGAAGAGCTATAGCACGTCTTCTGGCCATAGAAGAGCTGTGACAGCTCTTCTGGCTACTAAAGAGCTGTAACACGTTATATAGCTACATAAGAACTGTTACAGATCTTCTGGCCATAGAAGAGCAGTAACCGGTCTTCAGGCTATAGAAGGGCTACAACAGGATTTCGGGCTATAGAACACCTTAGAAGAGCTGTAAATAGTTTTCTGGCTAAAGAAGACCAGTTTAAGGCCTTCTGACTACAGAATACCAGTTAAGGGTATTCTAGCTATAGAAGACCAATTAAAGGTCTTCTGGCTATAGACGGTCTGTAAAAGGTCTTCTGGCTATAGAAGGGTTGTAGAAGAATTTTCGTATTCTGGTTATAAAACTGTTACATATGAAATGAAATAAAGTAGGTTAACAAAATTTTTTCAAACATGTATCTTAGGTCCGTGGAATTTTTGGACCATATAGGTCCACATTTTGATTACTATTTGAGGATTTTACATTAAAGTTTTGTGCGATAAAAGTCCTGTCGAATGCATTTTGGGCTTTATAAAGATTGGAATTAACCTCAGTAAAAGATATCGCTTGTCTCCTCTTTATAGAATTCGTACTCCTAAAACTATATTTTGTACCTTTGTATATAATATTCTATTTCCACATCCATACCGTACTCCTACTACATATAAACATTTCCTCTTTAGTTTAAAAAATTGTAGGGACCGCCTAAAACTATGCTATAAAAATGCTATGGGAAAAGCAACTTTACATATAACTCTAGCCTCATGTATAATCCAGCCTCTGCATCCTTGGAATACTTTTCTACTGCTATACACCTGCGGAATTTATTTCATATGTGACAAAAATGTGATGTGAAATTTTTCATATTTTTTGCGGTTGCCATATTTTAAATTCATTATAAAAATTCACTTAATCTCCTTCAACTCTCCATCTCTCTCTCTCTCTCTTTCGCCCTCCCCTAAGAGCAATTAATAAAAGTCATTTTACAAATTGTCCGTTTTACCTTTTTGACTTTATTTTTAAAAATTTAATAAAGTCATTTTCTTCACAGTGACTTATTTTTGCACATTTTTACGTTACGCGCCCCTTCTCCCTCTCCCCACCATCCACCAAATCCCAGTAGATTTACATGCTTTGCCATTCAACATGGCACGTCTTTAATATATTATTTATCACTTCGTGTCGTGCTATTGCCATTAAACGTTCAATGTCTAAAAATAAAAATGTCACAAAGTGAGACAAGAACAAATGGCAGATGGCTAAATACTCTCTCAACGGTGGCTGGCTGCCACTGTCTTTGGTGGCAGTAGCAGACAGCATTATTTTCTCTGGCAGTAAATTGTTATCTACAAATTTGTTCTTTGCATTCTTTCCTTTCCTATCTACCATCATCGTCATTTGTATCTATTTTTGTTCAATTTTAATTCACTTCCTTCTTTCCTTCGATTTCTTTTCGTTTTTTTTTCCTCCAGCAGCCCATGATTCGGATTCCCGTTATTTAACTGCCGAAGAACAAAGCCGTGAATTGACACGCAGCATTCGACGTGAAGTTGCTAAACTCTCTGAGCAATGGAATAATCTCATCGATAAATCTGACAATTGGAAACATCGTTTAGATGAATACATGACGGTAAGTTTGGAGTTGTTTTTCTTCTTTTTTTATTTATCGTGTGTGTTTGAAAAAGTGCCTTAAAGTATGCAATGATAATAAAACCACTTTATTGAAAAAAACTTTGATCAATAAATTTTGAAGAAATATTACTGTTTACACTAGTTTGAGGCATTTTAAAGAGACATTTTGAAGAAAATTCAGATAGAGTTCAATAGGGCTGGGAATGGAATTTCCCAAATTTGTACAAAATGGTCAATTATTGTGTAAATATGTCGAAATACCGGATCAAATTTGTATTTTTTTGGTGGCTTGAAAAATTTTTAAATTTTTTTTTATTTTGTCTATGAAAAGTAAAAATGATGTAAGGACTTGAAGTTATTGATGTATTATCCTTATATGGTAGCTAGCAAGTGCCCGCTACTTCGTTAGCGCAAAGTCCATCTTAACTTTTTTGGTTCATACCAACAGTTTGTATGTATGTTCAGTTAAAAAAAATTTAATCAATAATACATACTAAGTTTTCAGACCTTCAAGATTTTATACAGTATTCAAGTTTTTCCTTCTTCGGAAAGACTACTGGAAAAATATTTTATTTTGCAGCTTACCGAGGAGGATATTAGTGAATCATTTTCAAAATGGACTCATATCCAAATGTTCTGTCCAAAACTGTTTCAACGTCTCCATATGTAAATCCCAGAAACTAATGTTGGCCTCAAAATCCAATTTCAGATTTCCAGCTCTATCCTAAGACTCAACGCACGTTTAGTGGCATTTTGCACCTTTCGTACAGTTATACTTCGCATGTCCAAAACCACCTCCTTCTCTTCACTCTAGACACCAATAGTGATTTCGATACCAAATTCAAGAAATGCATCTCTATCCGAACTGCAGATTTTGTGGCGTTTTGCATTGTAAAGACCACCTCTTTCGCTTAACTACAGACACCAACATTGACATTCATATCAATTTTCGGGATCGCAAATCTATTCCTTCCCTTTTACCAAATTTAGTTCTATTCGTACATTTAAAGAACCCATTTCAAAAAAAAAAAAAAAAAAAAAAAATCTCTATATCTCAATTCCAGATACCAACAAAGGCCTTAATATCAAATATAAGGATTTCAGATCTATAATTTTCACCATTACCAAATTTATAAACATTGAGTACAGTTATAGTACGCATATCCGAAACGAGCTCCTTTTCTGAATTACAAACATCATCTCTGACATCACATTTCAGAATTTCAGCTGTATTCCTTCGCCCAATACCAAATTTGGTACTATTTAGTACATTTCGTACAATTATAGCACATATTTCCAAAACCGTCTCAATATATCAATTCCAATTAACAACAGAAACCTCAATATGAAATTTCCAGATTCCAGCTCTATTCCTTCACCCAATACCCAATTTACTACCAATAAGTACTTTTTAAACAATTTTAGTACACATTTCTAAAATAATCTTCATATCTCAATTCCCGATACCAAAAGAGATCTCAATATCAATTTTCGAGATTCCACTTCCATATTTTCGCCCATATTTGTACCATTTAGTATTTTTTGTACAATTATAGTACACATTTCCAAAACTAATTTCATATCTTAACCACAGATACGAGCAGTTGACAACTTTATGAAATTTCAGGAAAAATACAAAATTTAGTACCATTTAGTGCTGTTTGTACAAATATAGGAGGCATTTTTCAAAACACATTCAAATCTCAATTCCAGATACCTACATTATGTATAAATCGTGTTATCACATTTCGGGATTCCAGCCCCATTCCTCCACCCAATATCAAATTTAGTACTAGTTTCGGAAACTCTCCACTATAATAGTACTTTTCGTATAAATATAGTGGACATTTCCGAAACCACCTTAATATGCCCAGGCTACCACTGAACAGTGGCCCTAATACCAAAATTTCAGATTTCAAGCACTATATATTCACTCAATATGCCATTGTACTAAATTTAGTACTATTTAGTACTTTTCGTGCACTTGTAGCAGACATTTCCAAAAACCAATACAAAAATTGAAAAAGTTCCAGCTTTATCCGTTTACCCTAAGGCAAATTGTTCCAAATTTAGTATTATTTAGTACAGACTTGGTACACATTTCCAAAACTACCTTCATATATCAAACTTACTTTCCAACTTTGATTTTCGTACAAATATTTTGAATTTTGAACTGTATCCGTTCACAGAATACCATTTTATAAGTTTAGTACCATTTCAAAACTCTTCGTAATCTTAAATTTCTTAAATTTCGAAAAACCTGTTAGTACATCTCTCCTGCATCTTATCAGTGACTCTCATTCCTAATTTTAGAAGGCTAGCTCATTCCGTTCATCTAACACAATGTATTAAATTTTAGGCATATTTTATCACGTTTCGTACGATTTTAGTACTAATTTTCAAAAACCCAGCCTTATCACCAAGGCATGTGATTAATTCACTACTATATTGATACATTGTAGACTCCCACGTTGAGGATATGGGGCGGCTGAGGCCCTCCGATTTGCTGTATTTTTTCATATTTTTGAGAATTTTTTTTCATGTGGATCGCCGAAATGTTTTCCAAATTCCCTTCCTTCCTTTTATAAGCCCCGGTTTTCACTGCAAAAGATATGCTGGTATTTGACATAATTTCCGAGTTCATTATAATACAACTAAAAAGTTCTCTCCTCCTTCTCTTCGCCACGAAGAAAGAATTTAATTTCAATTTCAATTCCAAACATTTATATTCCAACCGAAAAAAAAAACAAAAATGTTTTCCACCGAAATTTTTCTTCTCTGGGATTTCATTTTAATAGCTTGTTTTTGGGAGTAAAACTTCAGATTTGTTGTTTTCATGTGGTTTTTCACATCAGCATCAGTTAACTGAAATGAACTCAAGCCAAAACACACACACACATGTACTCACACACGCAGTAACAGAACCAGGATAAAATTCCAAACTTTATTATGTGCAAAAAATGTACTTAGTTTATGTAATGCATGTTGGTGTTGTTGTTGACTGCTTGTCATGGTGGTGGTGGTGGTGATGGTGGTAATGTGGATGCTGGTGCTACTATCTGTGCCGAACTACCAGCAGCCTCAGCAGTTGTTATCATCAGTAGTGTCCTTGCATGGCAGCTTTAATCGCTATTCGGCCATGATTTTATTTTCTGTGCAAATGCCAGTGGTATAGGTCACTTGTTTGTCTCTCCTGCCCAACCACCTCCCCCTTTTCCCCCTTTTCCCTGTCTCTCGCCTGTCCATCTTCTTCAGTGATTTCGAACAGAACAACAAAGTCCAAGCAAAAATACGAAACATAACAAAATCTCATTTTAATTTTACTTTTCATCCCATTTAACATTTCATTTGTGGTTAACCTCCACCACAAACTTCTCCTCTCCACCTTCCCTGCATCTACTCCCCCATTTAACAAATATGTAGTTTCAAATCACATGTGTGTGTGTTCACTGATATTATGTTTGGTATTTCAATCCTTTTGTTGTAGTTTTAGCTTCTGCATCATTTGGGAATTGCATTGTTGTTGTTTTTCCTACAACAACAGCAAAAACTTTTTTCACTAATTTTATAAGAGCCGGATCAGGGTTAATTCAATGGAATTCTTCCCGCCCATATAATTTTTCGGGAGGCCAAAGAAGTAAACATGTGTTAATTGTTATTGTGGACAAGAAGTTGTTGTTGTTTTTTGTTTTTCTAATGGCCAACAACAATTAAAGCTTTAGTTTTCAATTGTCCGAAGAAAATAAACAAAACAATTTGAGAATGAAAACAAAAATTAGTTTTTAAAAACTTCAGTTATTTTGGTCTTTAGCAAGGAATGGGAAAAATATAAATTTTGAATTTCTATGTAAGGGTGGGATATTGGAGTGAGGGTTTGGAACTTAATACTTAATAATTAAAAAAAAAAAAATATCAGAAAATTATAGATTTTAAACTCCTTAATAGAGGAGCAGCAGAGGATTTTGATTTTGACAATTTGTGCCATAGGATTCTAAATTTGTCCAGCTATAATTTTGAAATTTTAAAGTGAGATCAATTCTCTTTTGGTAAAAATGACTAGAAAATCGACAAATTTTACAAAAATTGTAGTAAAACGTACTAAAAGCTTAAAGTTAAAAATCCAAAATTCCATACATTTAGAGCAAAAATCTTGAAATTTCTGGAATTTGGTACGTAATTTTGTCGAACCAAAGCAAAATGTTCCCCTTAGGGTAAAAAAAACATTAGAAGAAATATGGCAAAAACCATTAAAATGCCGAATATCGGGAGGTACCGTTATATGGGGGCTATACCAAATTGTTGACCTACACATGCAATGTTTCGCCAAAGGAGCTAGAACCCATTATGACCTACAAATACCAATTTTCAGACAAATCCTTGAAAAAAAAAGTGGCAAAAATCATAAAATTACCGAATATCGGGAGGCACCGTTATATGGGGGCTAAACCAAAACGTGGACCTAAAATTACAATGACTCGCTACACGAACTGGGATCCATTATGATCTACAACTACAAATTTTTAGACATATCCGTGAAGAAATGTGTCAAAAATAATCAAAATACCGAATATTGGGAGTATACCAAAACGTGGACCCATACATGCAGTCTTTCGCCACCGGAGCTGGAACCCATTATGAACAACAATTACCAATTTTTAGACAAATCCGTGAAAAAAGGTGGCAAAAATACACAAAATACCAAATATCGGGAGGTACCTTTATATGGGGGCTATACCAACACGTAGACCTATACATGCAATGTTTTGCCACACGCACAGGGACTCGTAATGACCTACAAATACCAATTTTCAGACAAATCCGTGAAAAAATGTGGCAAAAACCATCAAAATACCGAATATCGGGAGGTACCGTTATATGGGGACTGTACCAGAACGTGGACCGATATATCTCATTTTCAATACCAACCATCCTAGACACAATAAAAATTGCTCTGCTAAATTTTGGCGCTCTACGTCAAATAATGTGGGCTGTAACGTG